TAATCAGAATCTTTACCCTTCTTTCAAATATACAAGGTGCTTATAATACTTTAACTCTGATTAGCCTCTACTGAACTTACATGCTTCTTATTGCCCAGTATTTTAGCTTTAGTGATGCATTGTTTTTTCTAATTCATGGTGTTTCTTTGCAGTCACCTGCTATTTCAGTCACATAACCACTGAGATTCTAATTTATTTTCTACCTAGTATTTTTATAATAATATCTTGTTCCTAATTTTATTCTTGATTCACCTTTTTTAACTTAAGAAACATAAACAAAATGTAGTACATACATACAATGGACTATTATTGGGCCGTAAAAGGAATGAAGTTCTGATATATGCTATAACATAAACAAACCTTGAAACATTAAGCTAAGTGAAAGGAACTAGGCACAAAAATTTACATGATTCTATTTATATGAAATGCCCAGAATAGTCAAATCCATATAGACAGAAAATAGATTAGTGGTTGCCTGGGGCTGGCGGGATAGGGAAAAATAGCAAGTGACTGCTAATGGGTATGGGGTTTCTTTTAGGGGTGATGAAAATTTTCTAGAATTAGGTGATTGATGTACAACTATGTGAATGTACTAAAAGCCACTTAACTGTACACTAAAACAGTGAACTTTTTGTGAATTATATCTCAGTATATCTGTTATTAATAAAAAATCACATTGGGGCTTCCCTGGTGGTGCAGTGGTTGAGAGTCTGCCTGCCAATGCAGGGGACACGGGTTCGAGCCCTGGTCTGGGAAGATCCCACATGCCGCAGAGCAACTAGGCCCGTGAGCCACAACTACTGAGCCTGTGCGTCTGGAGCTTGTGCTGCGCAACAAGAGAGGCCGCGACAGTGAGAGGCCCGTGCACCACGATGAAGAGTGGCCCCCACTTGCCGCAACTAGAGAAAGCCCTCGCACAGAAACAAAGACACGACACAGTCAAAAATAAATAAATACATTAATTAATTATTTTTTTTAAACAATTCACATTGATATACAGATTATGGTACCATTTATATAAAAATTAAAAATTAAAAATATTTTTAAAAACTATTCATCACATATATTTATAAAAATATGAAGTAATGGTATAAAAGCACACTTGGGAGCTATCCATGAGAAACTGCATAAAGAGAGATTGTAAGAAAGTGAAGTTATGCCAAAAAGTGGGAGAAAATATTCATAATGCACATAACATATACAATTTTGGTATCCAGAATATACGAAGAACTCCTAGAAATAAATTAGAAAAAGACGTGTCAATACTATTCCTAGGGTAGGAAGAAATTCCTAGAATTTCTTCCTACCCTAAAGAAATTTTTACCCATGTGCTGTAGTAGATGTGTACAAGAATGTTCATTGCTGGTAAGCAGAAAACCCCAATGTTCATCTAGAGGAGGATGGATTAATAAATTGTGGCATATTCATCTAATCAAATATTAGATCAGTCAAAGTGAATGTATTAATGTTACAATACCATATAACCACGTGGATGAATGATAAAACAATCCTGTAGGGTAAAAAGACCAAGTTTTAGAAGACTATCGGTCACATTTTAATGAAGCTAAAAAACAGCAAAACAAAAAAACATGTTAAGGATACATAGTATGTGACAAACCATTTTAAAGTAAATAGTATGGGAATGATAATGACATAGTTCCTTAGTAGTGGTTACCTCTAGTATAGTAGGAGAGGAGTATGTTACATAAATCAATAGTATTAGCAATTTTGTAATTCTTAAATGGATTCATGGATGTTTTCAAACATATATTTGTTACATGTATGTTTTTAGTATATTTCAAATATATAATAAAATACTTGGGGAGAAGTACAGAAGGGGCTTTTGCAATGTTTTGTTACATTCAAAATCTGAAGTAAAGATACTTAAATACTAAGGTTTAATGTACTATTATAACAAGTTTTAAAAGCACGCAAAATATCTAAAATGTACAGAATAGAAGGCTGTTATATATTGATAATTTTTTTAAAAACATAGAACACTGTATATAGTATAATTTAACTCTTGCAAAAGATATATAATTTATTTTTTTACATATACAGGTGTTATATACATAGAAGAAATCAGGAAAATTATACACCAGTCAGTTAATAGTATTTGTCTCTGGAGGAGTGGTTCTCAAAAGCAGGGATGTGGGGACATCCTCAGGGAACATTTTTTGCCTCAGGGGACATTTGGCAATGTCTGGGGACATTTTGGATTTTTACAGTTGGGAGAATGCCACCAAATTAGGAATCACTAACAAAAAATACTTCCTCAAGCTTTACATATGAAAATTTAAAACATATTGCTAAATAATTTATGTCAAAAACATTGCTAATAAACATATAAAAGAAGCTAAATCTCACTTGTAGTTAGGAGAATTCAAATGAACAAACAACATACTATTTCATATTCAACGTATTGACAAAAATTAAAGTGTGGAAACAGCAAATGCTGTTAAGAATGTAGAAAAATAGAGCTGCTTATATACTAGTGTTGCACATAAATTGATACAACCAGTTTGGAGAGCAATTTTATAATATCTAAGAAATTTGACAGTATATATATCCTATGACTCAGCATTTCCTCTTGTAGGGGTGTACTGTAGAGAAATTTTTACACATCTATATGAGGAGATGTGTAAAATGTCTTATTATAAAAAACAGAGTGGAGTAATTATAAAAAGCCCATCAATGAGAGAATGGATAATAAATTATAATGTATTCATCCAGTTAGATACCATTTAAATTTAAAATAAGTGAAGTAGTTTTGCAGTTAACAATATTGAGCAATTGTGAAATTGTAACATTGAGGTAAAAAATAATTTGTAAGGTTATCCTTTTGTATTATACTATGCAGGTAAAATCATAAATGCACAAAATACTCTTTTATGTACTGATAAAAGAGTACATGTTATTAGGGGACAAATGTAGTAGTGGCATCAAATCATGGACAGGAAGGATATGCCAACCTTAGGATAGTGGTTCATGCTGAGAAACAATGGAGAAAGCTTTCAACCAAGTCTATAATGTTTATTTCTTAAAAAAATATATATATATAAATTTCAAACAAATACTAATGAGTGTATACTTGATGATAAGAAGTAAATGGGTGTTCTTTGTATTATTCTCTTTCCTTTTATTTATTTATTTATTTATTTTGGTGTATTTGGAACATTTTTTATGACTGAAGGAAAAGAATATCAAAAGTTGAGCTTCCCTGGTGGCGCAGTGGTTGAGAGTCCGCCTGCCGATGCAGTGGACACGGGTTCGTGCCCCGGTCTGGGAAGATCCCACATGCCACGGAGCGGCTGGGCCTGTGAGCCATGGCCACTGAGGCTGCGCATCTGGAGCCTGTGCTCCAGAACGGGAGCGGCCACAACAGGGAGAGGCCCACGTACCGCAAAAAAAAAAAAAATCAAAAGTTAAGAACCATTATTCCATGTTATGCAAGGCAATGACTGTGTAGATAGGGCAGGCAGATGATGCTTGGTTAAAATGCTCTAGAATCACTTTTGAGGGAATCTTTCCTGATGTTTTCCCTTCCTTCTGTCTCCTTTTCTCACTGTGTCCAGCCACCTATACATTGACCAGTTTGGTTTTGCCACAGTACATCCTGTACACACTTCTATTAAATTACATATTGCACTAATTACACTTATTTACATGTTATCCTCTCCCTAGAGACCATAGCTCTTTGAGGGTAGTGGCTATATCTTGTTTGTGTGTCCCTTTGTATAGTTTAGTGCCTAACAAATAGTAAGCATTAAATAAATACTTGGTAAATGAAGTGATGGATGACTGAACAGATTTCAAAGGAGGAAGGAATATATAAGGACAATTACTAGTATTAACCTTTACCTACATTTTAGTTTTGATGTTCTTGCCAGAATCTGATAATAGGGCATCTAGTCAGTCCTTATTCATTAGTTAAGATTAGATTTTGCTATATATAACCTGAGAACCTAAAATAACAATGGTTTCCATTAGAAATTTATTTTTCTTACACCAAAAGGAAACCTGAAAGAAAGTAATCCAGAGCTGGCATGGAGGTTATACATGCTTTTAAGTATCTTTCTGCTCCACCATCTTTGTTGAGGTGGCTCATGAACCAAGATGACTACTTAAATTCCAGCCATCTTTTCTTTCTTCCCTCCTTTCTTTTCCTTCCTTCTTTCATCTTTTTTTTCCTTTTAATTAAGACCAAAGAGAGAAGGAAAAAAGGGACAAAAATTACCTACCCCACTTTTGAAAGACTTACCAGAAGTTCCCTGCAAGTTCGCTTTATGTCTCCTTGGGTAGTACATGGTCATATGGCCTTATCAAGCTGCAGAACGGGCTGGGAAATATCTTTTAGCTGAATGACAATGTTTCTAGCTAAAGATTTTGGTTCTATTACTAAAGAACAAGGAGAGAATGGACACTGAAATACAACTAGCAGGCTCTGAAATTTTAATTAGCTATGGGTACTAAAAAGGGAAGGTAGAGAGAAGAGGGTTCCAGAGAAAGCTTTTTAGTTTATTATTTATGTAAGCCTGCCCATAAACAAGCCAAAAATTAGAATTTTTTGTATTCCAACCAGTTCCTGTCATCCTTAGTTTTGGTCTCAAATACAAGAAGATATCAACAAAATATCAGTGTTTTAGAGTGCTACTTAGAAAAATTCATGTTAAATCGGATTTATTAGGATTTCCTTGCTGTTTTTCTTCTGCCATGTCACATATTTTAAACTAAGAAATAGTTTGAATTTTGGTTCTAGGGATATGCTATTTGGCATCGGCCAAAGTGCTAGCCTTGGGGGGAAAAATGAGGTGGTGGTAGATCAAGAAGCTAATATTTTATGGAAAATTAATCCATAAATAGTCATCAGACTTTCTTTGATCATGGTCACTGTTCCTGATATTGATTCTTTTCACTGGATTGTAAAATAAAGTTGTAATGAAAAGTTTTATTCTTTGGAGATTTGAAAAATTGCTTCACATGAATCCTTTTCCTTCCAGGCTCTAAATTATCTTGGTATTCAGCCCACAAAGGAACAACACCAAGCTCTGAGACAGCAAGTGCAAGTAGACCCAAAGGGGACAGTGTCTTTTGGAGGTAATATTTAGGTTCATCATGTGTGTCATCACAGAAACTTATTGTGGCCCATATTCATTGAGTGCCTCTTCTTTGGAAGGAGAGAAAGAAAATTAAAACCACATCTATTTTAAGTTCCTTAATCAGTATTCTAAAGACTCAGATAGAAATATTGGTCTTACTGGGTCAGCAGAAAGGAGAACTTTCTTAGAATCTTTCAGCTTTAAAATATCATTCAATCATATTCTTTTTTTATTTTTAATTATTCCGTAAACATTGCTTTAGTAATAACAAAAGAAACAGTACAATATATAGAAGCCCTAGTTCTGCTACTGTGAAATTCTAATTTTTTTAGCCAGTATGATATAATAAATATTTCATTATGCTGTATAATTATTCTTATTTTTATTTTATAATTATTATTAAAGATAGCAAATTGTGAACATACTCCGCTGATATACTATAATATTAAGCTTTTCCACTATTGGGAATTTTGATGGTTTTTCATTAACTGACAATATAAATAATTCTATATTTAATATAGCTTTTTTTTTTTTTTTTTTTTTTTTTTTCTTGCGTTATGCGGGCCTCTCACTGTTGTGGCCTCTCCCATTTGCGGAGCACAGGCTCCGGACGCGCAGGCTCAGTGGCCATGGCTCACGGGCCCAGCCGCTCCGCGGCATGTGGGATCTTCCCGAAACGGGGCACGAACCCGCGTCTCCTGCATCGGCAGGCGGACTCTCAAGCACTGCGCCACCAGGGAAGCCCTAATATAGCTTTTTTTTCTTCTTTCTCTTAGGATAAATCCCCATAAATGGCTTAGACTTTTGATATGTATTGATAAATTGTTTTCCAGAGACATTTTACACACATATTTGTTCTGCCACTAGTAATGTTTGAATGTAACAGTTTTTTGTATCCTTTACAGCATTAAGTATTTAATTTTTTTCTTATAGAGTAGATGCAACATTGTATCATTTTAAAAGCATCTGCATTGCTAAAAGAAATTTGGGGGTTTGAAGTGATGAAAAAAGATGTATTTGTTCCCCTCTGCTCTTGAAATCATACAGTGTAATGAGAACAAGAAACAAAAATACATGTAAAACCACAATGTATAAGGACAAAGTAGATGAGGAAAATAAATGAATTAGTGAGCAGAGGCATGTAAAGTCCAAGTGTCTGAAGAGATAGGAGAATCACAACGGGAAACAAGCTGATTCCTGGAAAGGCTTAGGAATTGAAAACATTGAGTACTTAAGGCTGTGTTAAGGAGCAATTATATATGCTGTTCCCTGCCCCCTCTCAAGTAATCCACAATTACCAACCCTTACACTTGCAGAGGAAAATAAGTATATTCCCTTGAGAAATTAAACCAGATTGATTCTGGACCTATAGTTGCCAGCAGCTAAGGAATTTGGGGGTGTGTATGGTGAATTATCACTTACAAAACACACACAGATTGCTCAGTGATATTTGCAACCATGTGTATGCTCTGTAGGCAAGAGGTTGTAAGATTCTCTCTGAAGAACCTGAACAAAGTATCATAATAGCTGACCACGTTACTGCTCTGTAGTAAAACCTACTAATTGACAAAGCGAGTTATGCACACAAAATTTCCAATCAACAATTTAGTGCCTGATTCGTCTTAAATATGAACACCAGACATTTGGAGAAATCCTCCAACATAAAATATAAAGCCCCAAAGTATCAGACAAATAGAAAAAGAGGAACTCAGAAAAAAGGGAAATATTACAAGAGCATAAAAGAACTTAACGTAAACCATAATTAGCATTTTTTAAAAAGATAAGCAAAACTAAGGCATCCACGCAATAAGAGTAGGATACTGGAAAATAGGAACAATTAAAAGGATTACTGGAAACTAAAAATATAAGAATCAAATTTTTTTAAAAATTGACATTAGATGGATGAACAGGTCACACTCCATGTCTGAAGAAGCATATAGTTGGCTAGGTTGGCATCAGGCAGTGTTATATAACAAACAAGAGAATATGCCTTCAAGTCACACTTCAATGGAATCTTGCTCTGCTACTTATTTGCCAAGTAGCCTTGGGAGGTTTAAGACAGTTAACTTATCTTAGCCCAAACTGTAAAATGGAGAGGATGAGAAGAACTACCGCCGAAAATTCTCAAGATGAAATCGCAAAGGGCCACGCGTAGCATACAGAGGCTGTTATAGAAATATTTCCTGCTATTATTATTATTATTATTAAACCGCAGGTTCTTTCGGCTAGGAAAGCTGTAAATCATAATATTATCATATGTTTTAGAAAAAGGACTATTCATAATAAAAGAGTTGGAGAGATAGTTATGCCTGTGACATTTATTTGCTTCATTATCGTATCTGATTTATTAACTTCAGCAAAGTTAAATGAAATAAGTGAAAACCAGTTTATCTCTTACTTCTTATGTGGACTTAAATTTATCTGTCACTTCAGTTAACACTATTTTAAGGTAATTTAAGTAAGTTAAATTTTAAGCATTAGTTATAACACATAGCTTCAGCTTCATGTAGAAAAAGGTAAGGTTTGCTTAGATGAGGTTAAATGCTGTATTCTTACTGAAATGTGTTCTATTTTAGATTTTGTCCAGGTTGCCAGAAACTTGTTTTCCTTGCATTTGGGTGAAGCAAATGTTGGTGCACATGAAATTTCCAACATATTAGACTCACAGGTAGAGTATGCCCTATAGAATTGTCTTGATTGCACTTAAATCATGTCTTAAATGTTATCTGTCATATATATAGGCTTTTTTCATTTTTTAATTTTTTTAAAAATAAATTATGCAGATAATACATGCTTTTTGGATAAATATATAAAATACAGATAATCAAAAGTAAAATTTTACCTTGATCTCCTCTATCCTCCTCTCTCACTATTCCCTCATGCTATTCCCATCTTTAAATTTACCGCAGAAAAGTACTCATATCGTAAGTGTAAACCCTCTGAAATTTTACAATCTGAACCATTCTTGTGTAATCAGCGTCCACATCAAGAAACATAACGTTAAAGAAACTACCAGGACCCTGAAGTCTGTCTCCTACTCGCCGAGTTCCTTTCTAATTACTAGCGCTTACCCTCCCCACCCCCAGTCAAGGTAACAGCTACTCTTTTGCTTCCAACAACATAGATTGGTTTTGCTCTTTTTGTGCTTTACATAAAATGGAATTGTGAAGTCAGTTAACTTTGTAAGTCGTTTGTTCTACAAACCTTTGACACTTATATTGCCAAATCTTTCAGTCCTTTCTGTTATGAATTTTTGATACTGTTACATTATTAAAGAAGGTCTTCCCAATTTATATTATGTATTAATATATCATATATAGATAACTTATTTTTGTTTATTCATGAGGTTGGGCCCCAAATGGATAACCACGTGCGCTTATTCCACCATCATTTATTCAATAACCATCCTTTTCCACTTTTACCACTAATTTGAAATACATCTTTAATACATGCTAAATTGCATCTGGATACACAGCTCTGTTTCTTTCTTTTTTTTTTTAACATCTTTATTGGCGTATAATTGCTTTACATTGTTGTATTCCTTGCTGCTGTATAACAGTGAATCAGCTATACGTATACATATATCCCCATATCCCCTCCCTCTTGCGTCTCCTTCCCACCCTCCCTATCCCACCCCTCTAGGTGGTCACAAAGCACCGAGCTGATCTCCCTGTGCTATGCAGCTGCTTCCCACTAGCAATCTATTTCATATTTGGTAGTGTATATACGTCCATGCCACTCTCTCACTTCATCCCAGCATACCCTTCCCCCTCCCCATATCCTCAAGTCCATTCTCTACATCTACATCTTTATCCTGTCCTGCCTCTAGGTTCTTCAGAAACATTTTTTTTTTTTTAGATTCCATATATATGTGTTAGTATACGGTATTTGTTTTTCTCTTTCTGAATTACTTCACTCTGTATGACACACTCTAGGTCCATCCGCCTCACTACAAATAACTCAGTTTTTGTTTCTATTTATGGCGGAGCAATATTCCATTGTATATATGTGCCACATCTTCTTTATCCATTTATCTGTCACTGGACACTTAGGTTGCTTCCATGTCCTGGCTATTGTAAACAGTGCTGCAATGAACATTGTGGTACATGACTCTTTTTGAATTATGGTTTTTTCAGGGTATATGCCCAGTAGTGAGATTGCTGGGTCATATGGTAGTTCTATCTTTAGTTTTTTAAGGAACCTCCATACTGTTCTCCATAGTGGCTGTATCAATTTTCATTCCCACCAACAGTGCAAGAGGGTTCCCTTTTCTCCACACCTTCTCCAGCATTTATTGTTTGTAGATTTTTTGATGATGGCCATTCTGACTGGTGTGAGGTGATAGCTCATTGTAGTGTTGATTTGTATTTCTCTAATGATTAGTGATGTTGAGCATCCTTTCATGTGTTTGTTGGCAATCTGTATGTCTTCTTTGGAGAAATGTCTGTTTAGGTCTTCTGCCCATTTTTGGATTGGGTTGTTTGTTTTTTTGGTATTGAGCTGCATGGGCTGCTTGTATATTTCAGAGATTAATTCTCTGTCAGTTGCTTAGTTTGCAAATATGTTCTCCCATTCTGAGGGTTGTCTTTTCGTCTTGTTTATGGTTTGCTTTGCTGTGCAAAAGCTTTTAAGTTTCATTAGGTCCCATTTGTTTATTTTTGTTTTTATTTCCGTTTTTTTCTAGGAGGTGGGTCAAAAAGGATCTTGCTGTGATTTATGTCATAGAGTGTTCTGCCTGTGTTTCCCTCTAAGAGTTTTATAGTGTCTGGCCTTACATGTAGGTCTTTAATCCATTTTGAGTTTATTTTTGTGTATGGTGTTAGGGAGTGTTCTAATTTCATTCCTTTACATGTACATAGCTCTCTTTCTAAACAAACCACTCTGTTCCGTTGATCCATTTCTCTCTGCCACTACATTTTTATTTTAATTACTCTAGCTTTTTAGTTCTAGGTTCATTGTTTAGTTCTAGGTTCATTGTTATTGTTAGGTTAAGCCAAATTTTTTTTTTATCTTCTTGATTTTGATCATCTGCATGATCTTTAGAATCATTTTGCCATGGTAATAAAATTTCAATTGGGACTTTCTTTTTTTAATTGGAATTGCATTGAAGATAGAGGGTGGTTTGGGAGAAGCGAATGTGATTTGTTCCTCCATTCATTTAGATCTTTGTTGACGTTTTGGAAAGAAAAAAATATATCTTGCTTCATGTAGGTCCTAAGTATTTCTTGTTAGATCTGAATAAGTATGCTATAGTTTGATGCTATTGGAAATGGGAATTTTTTTACCATTATATTTTCTAATTGATGATTAATAAAGATTAATTTTTGAATGGTTATTCTCTGTGATGCCACTTTATTGAACTCCCTTATTCCAGTTATTTTTCAGTTATTTATCTTAGGTTTTCTAGGTAGACATTTGAAATTAATTACTTTGTCTCCTTCACAAATTTTTACTTCTTCTGAATACTGTTGAATAGGAGCTACAAAAGTGAACAAGAAATTAATTTCCATGGTATTTGAGTCATTTTACATTTTTAATTTTTTAAAAGAAGCTAGCATTATCTTACTTAATGAATAAGTTTTACAATTGACCATTGAACTACTCAGGTTTGAACTGCACGTATACACTTACACACGGATTTTTTTTTTTTCAGTAGTATATACTGCAGTACTATACAATCTGTGGTTGGTTAAATCCTTAAGTGCAAAACCACAGATGTGGAGGGCCTACTGTAAAGTCATACTTGGATTTTCCACCCTGTGGAGGATCAGTGTCCCTAACCCCCAACATTGTTCAAGGGTCAGCTGTATACCATTCCAATTCTTTTTGTTTGTTTGTTTTTGTTTTGTTTTGTTTTTTTGTGGTACGCGGGCCTCTCACTGTTGTGGCCTCTCCCGTTGCGGAGCACAGGCTCTGGACGCGCACGCTTAGCGGCCATGGCTCACGGGCCTAGCCACTCCGCAGCATGTGGGATCCTCCTGGACCGGGGCACGAACCCATGTCCCCTGCATCAGTAGGTGGACTCTCAATCACTGCGCCACCAGGGAAGCCCCCATTCCAATTCTTGTGAAACAGTTTAAGTAATAGAAATGTTATCTGTTCCTTGAAGGTTTGAAAATGTTTCATATGCCAAGTGATTTGGGCCTAGATCTTTCAGGAGAAGAGATATTTCCTACTTATTTTAATGTCTTCTAAGGTTGTTCTATTCAGGGTTTTGTTCTCTTCTTGAATAATTTTGTTAATGTACATCTTCCTAGAAAAATTTTCCTTTCATCAAGATATTAAAATTTATCAAACATTTACATGGAATTTTTTAAGATTTTTAATCCTAGTTTTGATGATATTGCTTATTTCATAGATGTACTGCACTTTTTTTTTGCCACACCACATGGCTTCTGGGATCTCAGTTCCCCAACCAGTGATTGAACCCAGGCCTCCACAGTGAAAGCACTGAATCCTAACCACTAGACCACCGGGGAACTCACAATACAATTTTTTACAAGTAATCACACCCATAAGTTTCTATAGGTCATATTTTAATAATGACTCAGCAGTATATAATGTTTCCTATTTTAAAGTGTTTTAAATATTTTCTAGTTATATAGTTCCCTTTTGATTACTGATTTCTAGTTTAATTCCAGAGGTTAGAGAGCATATTCTATGTGGTATTGATCCTTTGACCATATACCCAGCATATAGTCAATTTTATGGAATATTTCCCATCTTGTGGAAAGCATGTATATTCTACAGTTGTTGAGTGCAGTGCTTCCTATATGTCAGTTAGGTCACAGTTGTTAATCATGTGGTTCACATTTTCCATTTACTTTTAGAATTTTCTATTTCATTAATCTTTCTTTGGTCACCTTTTATTGTATTGTCTGTTACTGAGAGAGAGATGTTTTATAATCTCCATTTAGTTCGGCTAATTTTCGCTTTACATATCCTAAGCCTGTATTATTAGGTGTATACTATTTAGTATTGTATTCTGACAAGATACTGAATCTCTTCATTTCTAGAATGTTTCTTGCCTTAAAATCAACTTAGTCTAATTGTGTAATGGTTGGTGGTTTGGTTTGGTTTCCAATTCCTATAAATATAGTTTTGTTGTTGTTGTTGTTTTTTAGCTGCGTTGGGTCTTTGTTGCTGTATGTGGGCTTTCTCTAGTTGTGGGGAGTGGGGGCTACTCTTCTTTGTGGTGCGCGGGCTTCTCATTGCGATGGCTTCTCTTGCTGCAGAGCACGGACTCTAGGTGCACGGGCTTCAGCAGTTGCAGGACACAGGCTCAGTAGTTGTGGCATGTGGACTCAGTAGTTGCTGTGTGGAGGCTCTAGGGTGCACGGGCTTCAGTAGCTGTGGTGTGTGGGCTCAGTAGTTGTGGCTTGCAGGCTCTAGAGCTCAGGCTCAGTAGCTGTGGCACATGGGCCTAGTTATTCTGTGGCATGTGGGATCTTCCCAGACCAGGGATCAAATCTATGTCCCCTGCATTGGCAGGCAGATTCTTTCTTTTTTTTTTTTTTTTTTTAACATTTTTCTAAATTTATTTATTTATCTATTTATGGCTGTGTTTGGTGTTCGTTGCTGTGCGAGGGCTTTCTCCAGCTGTGGTAAGCGGGGGCCACTCTTCATCACGGTGCACGGGCCTCTTACTGTCGCAGCCTCTCTTGTTGC